CTAAAAAAACAAAAACAGCAACAAACCTGAACACCACCACCCCCCCCCTAAAAAAACAAACAAAACTCAAGCAGATGCAAGCAAATAAAAAAAAAAGTAAGCTTAAATCGATTTGTTGCAAAACCTTCATGGATGTAACAATTACTTAAAATATGCACATGCTTCTAGAACAATGATTGTGGGTGTCCATTTTTTCAGATCTGGCACTTTATGGTGATGATGATGTTAGTACAATGAGCCTGCTGTTGAGCGGGGATATGCGCTATACAAATGCTATCTATTATTATTACAATGCATCATGTGTGTGCTCAGTAACTTCAGTGTCACCTCCCCCCCCCCCAATCCAACCATGGCAGTGTTACTGACTGGAGTGGCTTTAGGCCTAGACCATTCACAAAGAGGGGGGGGGGAGGGTATTAACAAGTTCTTTTGCACAGTAGAATTGTAAATGGGCTGTTTATCAATGTCATGCTCATACTGTGCCGGAACAACATAGGGGGAACTGCTGCTTTTTCTTTCCTAGTCCTTACTATCGTCATTTTTTTCTCTACTTCTTTTCTATGTTTGTTCACTCTCTTGTGAATTGCTATTTCCGGGGTGCCTTGATAATCGAGGCAGACTTTGTGCTGTTGAGGCTAGAGAGGTGAGCAGAGAAAGCCTGATTACCCGTTTGGACTTATGTCGACATTCCACCACTTGGCGCTCATAATAAAACCTTATGTCATTGCGAGCGCCGTAAAACCGTACTAGAACAAAATGATAACGTTAGTACAGTACAACAGTACATCGTGTATGTGTTCAGTACCTTCAGTGTGTCGATGTCGACGTTCAGAAAGTCACAGGACAACACAGCCTGCAGTGTGTGCGCGGCCTCAGATCTGGAGTCCATGACGTCACCGTTGGCCCTGGAAGCAGAAACCAAGGAGAACATGATATCTAAGGCGGCGTGGCGAAACCAGGCGCTCGTCAAAAGAATGAAATCCAAGACACCGGCGTTTTTCTGGGTGTTGGGAATTTTTTTTTTCTCCAAATTTTCGTGGGGTTTTTTTTGGGTTTTTTTGGGGGGGTTACTTTTGTTGTTGCTCAAAACCTTAAATGTTCTTTTATAACCACCTCTCTGTGTGAATATTGTCGAAAAACATTGATTAAAGGCACAAAAACATGTAAGTTTCCAGTTTCCAGGACACTCAAGCTTTGTAAGTCATCAAAATTTAGCCGCTAATTTTACTTCTCACACCAGGCAACCCCCACCTCCTCTAATTGCAAATATTTCAACTTGTATTCAAGATAGATAGGTATTTTTTCCGCCGTTTGCAAGACAAATGAGCAAGCTTTGAGATAATACAAACAACTCTATATGCCCAAAATATTGACGAGCGCCTGATTCCTTCACGTCGCAATTATTATTGAGTTTGTATCAAGTTGGAATGAAGAGTGGATGGACGTCTCTGGTTTGTGTTCCAAACAGGGCTTAGCTATGAAATTGGATTGTATTCGGGAGTTTCTACTGATCTACATAAAATTATGTTCAACTAGGTTCTTTCAGAAATGGGCTTTAAATTTGGAGAGCACGGCTCATAGATAGCCAATGTCACGACCGAATGAGACCTGTCTGATGCTTAAACCGTACAGGGATGTTAATTTATTTGTTCTCCAGTTGCCTCGGCAAAATGTTTGTCGTTTGGAACAGATCAGGATTAATCTCGGCTATATTGGTCGCTTTTAAACACAGGGGGCTAGGCTACCCCGAAAAATGCTGTTTTGAGAAAATCGAAAGTAAAGTTTTTCCCCCTTTTTCAGTTTCTTTAAAAAGACAAGGAGAGTTTTTTCTATAACCAAACAAATATACACACCAATGAAACCGAACTTTTCCTATAGGTAGTGTAGGCCAATTCCCACTTTTGATGTAGGTCAAGATTTCTGGAACCCCCGAAAGCTGGGTTAGCCCACTTGTCCTTAAAGGCGACCACTTAATTTCTTGGACGCACGTACCTCTCAAAAACTGTACAAATAATTAATGAACACAAATTTTCCTTAGTGTTTTCTTTTTAATCTGTGATTTTTACACCTCATTCGACACAATTCAGATCATTTAGGAGGCGGGCTTCCAATCCTGACTGTCAGGGCTAGTCCGTGGTGAGAGGGATACAACATACCAGCAAAAAGACCAAGAAACTTGATGAAATAATTTCTCTGGACTCGAGCTCAGGTCACCTGCTAGTGACAAGGAAGAGCCTAACAGCAGGCTGGCGCTCATGTGACCTTATGCAGTTGCGAGCGCCCTAAAACCTCTACTAAAACTAAAACTAACCGCAGGCTAAGCAAAGAAACCGGTCCTGTGGTGTGGGGGCTAAGCGACTTGTTGCTGCATGCGGGAGACCAGAGTTTAATTCCCGAGTGAGGAGAATGTTGTATCCGTCTCAGTAGTCTCAGCAGGGCTTGACATTGACAGGCAGAGTCTAAAGCATCTCTACTAAAGCACCTACTTCCTAATTTGTGTTGATGGAGGAGTAAAACACTTACGCTTTCCTTTTTTAACACCACACAATGCCAGTCTTCCATGATCCGTTTGTATTAGTTGTTAGCAATACTCACGGCAGATTTTAATGTTATCAGGTAAGTTAGTGATTTAAAAAAAATACAAGATTGCATCATTTTGCTGGCCTGAAGCGTCCATCTGATCCCGCGTTACAACCAGATGGATCTGGGGGTTCGAACAGTCCAGCAAAGTATTTGATTTGACCAACTTAAACTTCCATTAATCTGTATTTCAACTGTACGCAAATTTAAGTTAATTTTGTCTGCCCTTAAGGACATCAGAATCTGAGGTCTATGATAGTTCTTCGTTATAATAACCTACCCTACCCTCTACGCTTTTCCAACACAAAAAGGCACACGAATGTACGCACTTACAACTCATACAGACAGGATTACACGACATACACATGTACACACACTCACACACACACACACACACACACACACACACACACACACACAAACACACACATACACACAAACACACACACATACACACATACACACAAACACACCCACGCCTACATGATCCCTGTTAACACGTCGCACTCATAACATTTTTACATGATCATCGTCAATATTTCTTGCTCTATTACTCTCTGTCTGTCTGTCTGTCTGTCTGTCTGTCTGTCTGTCTGTCTGTCTGTCTGTCT